ATGGGTCGATCCGTCTCCCAGCACCGCTCCTCGCATACACAACTATCGTGCGTCGCTTCCGTCACTGGGAACCTGTGCGGAACCAGCAAATCGCTATGAAAATTCAATGCCACCGCGCCGCTTAGCATCGCTGGTAGCGTGCCGTTCAGCTTCTCTTCGTTCATGGGCCCGTGCAAGCACCCTGTCATGTTCCTCCTCCCTGCTCGCGGCATGCCCCGGCTTTTCAAAAACCCTCGGCACAACGCCACTGCGCGATCTATGAGCCACGTCGTGCGCGGGAAAAAGCTTTTGCACTGCGTCATATCGTCTCCCCTCTGACAATGTGCCAATGGTACCACGCGCTGCAAACGTTTGCTCCACTGGTGCACACGGTTCTGTCGAAACTCCTGCCCCTTTTGCACCCAGACGCCGAGGTACTCTTGCAGCCAGGTTCGCCCTGCCTCGTTGCCCTTGTCTCCATCTTCAGTTCTCCCGTTGCCGCTCGTTGAGGCCCTACCGCCGCCCTCCGTCTCTTCCAACCCAGTAGTCTCCCTGCTGTGTAAGTACTCCGCCGCTGCGACCAGCTCTGCGGTATCGCGATACGTAGGCCACGCCTTCTCTACCTCTGTTTCCTGTCCCGCCAGCCCTCTACGTCAGCGTACTCTTGACGACTCGCTTTTCTCTTGTACCTCTTGTACTCTTATACCAGCCCCTTCAGCAAATCTGTCGGCAGCTTTAACAGTTCGTGCAACGGGGCATGCTGGTGCAAGCACTGAACGAAGACTTGCACGTGCAGATGCAGACTTCCAGCCGACTTCTGAGCTTCAATGCTGCCCTACACCCCGTCAACACGACCTAAGCATCAGCCCACCGCCGTCGCGTTGCTGCCAAGCAAGTCTGCGCACTCGCAGTCCGGGCAATTCGGACAATACCGCATGCCCAAAATGTACACGAATACATGACCCACGATGACCCTAAACCCGTCAACGCCCGCAAGCGGGCCCCGAGGCAGCACAGCCCTTCTCTCGTCCGACGCGGGAACGGCATTTGCCAACATCTCCAGAGGCACTGCCATGTCCACGTCGTCGTCACCCTCAGCCCCCTCCGAGTCCGATCCGTTTTCGCTCGCCTGCTCGCTCCGTTCTCTTGTCGCGGCATTTCCAGAGATATCTTCCTTGTGCGCCAACGACGGCTCCCACAACCCACCGCGCGTTGGGCCGTGACGCGCCCGCGCTGCACGACGATTCACGGGGTCCTTTTTTCGCGACCGCGACAGCCGCACCATTACCAGGTTGTGCCTCTCATCCGGGGACATGGTGAAAAATAACGGTACCCCATGGGCGATTCGAGCAGCACGGGTGTCGTACCTCATGAGCGTCCGCACTTCGTTTGTCCCTTCAAACTTGCGAGCAACCGCGCTGGCTCCCGCAGCCAATCGTTTCGCTATCGGGTCGAGCGACTGCACATATTTCAGCTTCGAGAAATCTCCGCGCACTTTCGTGGTCTTCCCGGTTGACGGATCTTTGTACGTACCGTACAAGGCGTCTACGATGCTCACAGCTGCCTTCTCGAGTTCTCCTTGCGAATACTGGCATTCCGTCTCTCCGTCCTTTCGATAGTCCGCCAAGCGCACGGACCGGGCCATATTCACGGAACTTTGAAACAAAACCGACGACAACGTAAAACCGAACCGCCATTCACGCCGGAACTGAGACTCCACCCGACGCGTCATGATGCGCGCCCACAGAGCCAACTCCACTCGGGGCGCCGCGGGCCCACGTCGATGTCGTGCATTTCCCTGCCGCTCAGGCATGTCTGGCATCCCCACCCCGTCGCCGCCACTGGCGCCGCCGCGGCCGCCGCCGCCGCCCTCGTCGCCGCCGCCGTCGTCACCGCCGCCGCCGCGTGACAGCACAGCGCAGCAAGCCGAGGATCACCGGAGCACTGGGCGCAATGGCTACAAGGGTGCGCCGTGAACCACTATGTCACTCTGAGCTCGTGGGCTGCCTGAAGCGCCGCGGGCCCGCGGATCTTGGACCCGCCGCGCCAAGCGCGAGAATCGCGCTGCGTAATGAAGTTACACTGCTCTCCGTCGACAAAGAACTGGGCGCCCGATAGGTGGCCGTGCTTGGTTGCGGCCGCGAGGGCGCCGTCAGCGGCGTAGCCGCTTGCAAGGCATCCCTCCAAAATGGGGGCGGCCGCTGGGCTGATGATGTAAGCTTGTGATAGATAGCACGACGACGCCCTCCGCAGCTCGAAGAGGCGGCCGCCGCGGCGGCAGGCGGCCAACACCTCGCCTGCATACCCGCCCTTGTCCTCGCATGGGAAGCCCACCCTCGCGCCGAGCCAGATGACGTGTAAGTCATGCACTTTGGTGGTACTGGTGAGGGCCGCCACGATATCGATGACAAGTGTTGCAGGGAACGGCTTGACGCCCCGTTCAGGATGCGGGAAAGTGCATCGCGAGGGATATTCGGCCGGGCCAAGAACGGCGTCGTCCTCGAGAATACAACGCCGCCCCGCCGCGCCGCAGAGCGCCGCGCCGCACCGCAGAGCCCGTCGGTGCGCCTGCGCGCAGCCGAATACACCCGGCACTTTGTCTTCAACAGTGGTTCTCACTGGGACCCGTGTGGAAGAGGAGGAGCCGAACGCCGCGCATCCCTCGGCGTTGAGGAGAACCGAGAAGTACGAACTTTCTGTGAGCACGGACCGGATATAGCGAAGACCATGAACGCCACTGGAGTACGAAGCAGGAGCGCCGAACGCCGCCATGGTCGTCCGCACGTTGTCACGGCGATGCGCGTCACCTGAGAGCAACGCAAATTGGAGCGACAAGAAATGAGCAAAACAACTGCCTCCCTTACCAGCTTTCCGACAGGCATCCGGCCGTGGCGGCGAGCCCCCCCCCTCTGAAGCCAATTCCTGTTGCTCTAAATGGCGCTGACCCAGTCACCCCGGAAGCAGATGGCCAGCATGGGCAAGGCAGACAAGTCGATTGCCTCGGCGAGCGCCTCCGCCGCGAGGCCGCGGCAATCCGCCCGGATCGGAGCCGCCGCCGGGCGAGCTCTAACACATCGAGAGGCTGTGTTGCTGGCCGGGCGCGTTTTCAGATCGCCTGCTGGTCGTTTGCGGGTCGTAAACTCCTCCGACCTTCGATCGCCTCCGGCGCCAGACCATTGGAATTCAGCTGCCGATATCCAACCTGCGCGCTCTGAGTATATTTGCCCTCTGGCGCCCCATTCGTTCATAAGAGCTCTGGCGAATGACAAGTTGCGCACGCTCTGGACCTCGTAGCGTTGCCCCCCATCATATACAGACCGGGTGTGGTGCACGGCAACGTTGGGGCCGATGGGCCTGCGAACCCGAGGGTTGCGCATGAGAAGGGCCAGGCTGGCGACTCTCGAGCCAAATGTTGACGGGATGGGCCGCAGGCCGAAGGCCACTCGATCAGGCGCCCCCTGTTGATTCCTCACAGCAGTGCCTGGCGTGCTAGACCCTCTCGGTATTGGTTTTGGTTCATTTGCAACTGGAGCGCTCCCTGGGGATTCGGCCTGTCCCTCTGGCCGCCCGAAAGACCCAGAAACGACCTCCACGACCAGAAAATGGCCTCAAGAGCGCGCGAAGGGCCTCCAACACGGCCAAGATGGCCTCCAATGTGTCTGCAAACGGCAACGTGGCCTCCAAGAAAGCCCAGATGGCCCAAGATGCCGCCAAAACGGCCCCAGATAGCGACAACATTGCCCAAGATCGCCCAACAAAGGCCCCAGATGCCCAGAAGATGGCCTCAGAGGCACCCAAACACACCTCACGAAGGATCGAAGGAGGCCACCAAAATGGCCCAAGATAGCCGAAGATGGTGCTAGATAGCTCCCGGCCTGCCTCCTGGAGGCTCCAAGAGGGCGACAAGACGGCCCGAAATGCTCCCAGAGGTCTGGGAGTTGGCCCAAAACAAGTCGCCCCAGACCCCCGACCTCCGGACCCCGTTGCGCGACGCGCGGCCCTCTCCGCGCTCTCGCGCGCCCCGTGAGGAAGAACACCCCTCCGAGGCCAAACCGCGAAATGCGAGGCGCCGTGATCTTCGCGCCCCTGCGGGTGACCCTGCTACAGGGAGGAGGCGTGGAGGGAGAGAGGGGAGGAGGGGAGGAGGGGGAAGAAGGGAGGAGGGAGCAGGACGAGGGAGGAGGGGACGAGAGGGGGACGAGGGCGTCCGGGGGCCATCTCGGGTCGTCATGAGGCGATCTTCGGAACGGAAGACCGAAGAACAGAGCAGTCCCCAAAACATACAAGACCCACGGGACATCGATCATCGACACGAAGGTCTTGGTTGGGTCTTGAAGGTTTTCTTTGGAGTCGTCTTCGGGCGTCTGGTGGGTGTGTTGGGCATCTTGAGACCCTCGCGGGGCCGCTCGGCTGCCCCCATGACAGATTCGAAGGCTTCCAGGAGCACCGGAAAGCCAGGGCGACCTTCTGCACGTGCGTCCAAAAAACTCCTGGGCCACGCATCTCGGGGGGGAGCCGTTTAGGGGGGGTGGGCTCGCAGGCTCCCAGATTGTACAACAATGCAGAAAAGGGAGAATGTATATATATATGTGTGTGTATCCTTCTGTTGCTCTCCCGATGTACACCTGTACGCACACTAGAACAATGCGCGCAACGCGCCCCTTGAACTATGGCACGCTTTGTCCTACAAGTATGCATGCATGTTTCCGCACATGCATCCGTCCTGACATACACCGATCAAATCGCACATCCAACAATACATCCAACTATGGATAGATCCTTGCAGTCATCCTAGATCCTGAAAGCCACGTGTCTACGGATCCACCCGTTTCTGCACCCATCAGGCTGGCCACAGATGCACGCGTCGGCCCACAGCCATCCATACACCTATCGAGATGGCTCGAAACTGCCCCCACCCCAGACGCCTAAAGGTGCCCAGAAGATCTGCAAACATGGCCCAGCATGACCCCAAGTCGCATCAAACTGTACTCATCCTCCTCCTCCGCCTCCTTCTCAATGACGTCCTCCCTTGGGCGAATGTTTCTTCTTTGCGCGCACGCACAGACCGGCCTGGTAATAATTGAGCCTCAGGCGCGGGCTGAAGCCCAGCCATTAAAATGTGCTCTCGTCTGTTTGCAGACGTGATCGCGGGCGAACTGCACGCGTGAGCAAACAATGGTGTGCGTTTGCAAGGTTGGTTGAATTAAGCAACGCGCAAATGTCTTTTGCGCATGCGAATGCCATGTTTGAAGAACTGCCTGCCATCGCGCTTATATGCGTCAGGGAAGGCGCGAATCCTAGTTGACCACCAAATGCATGCGCGCAAACTCTGATTCTGATTGGCCCGCACCGATGTCAGTACTAGTGCTGCGACATGGGGCACGTCAACGGCGTCATGCGTCTTCGAAACCCAAAGAACCATCAACCTTGCGGAACCTGTAAAACGGCCCATGTGCTGCTGATCTGAATCGCTGCCATCTCAAAATGGTACCCTGCCTGCGAATACCCATACCGGTTGACGTCTCCTTCGAACGAGTGTCAGCGAAGAATCGAACATCACCTGGAGGGAAAGAAGACGGTGACGATGACCAAGATTGAAGGCAGAAACTTCGGTGCAGATCTTGGTCACGGCCCATCTAGGTCACCGTCGACTCGTGGATCATCCTCGCGAGATCGGCGACGGCCAGCATGGACCATGCCTACGAAATGCGTCGACAAAATCTCGCGACTCTTCCCTCGATCATTGGAGCGATACAGAGGGCAGCGTGTCAGTAAAGCACTGTCTCCCTCCAGATGCCCCCCAGCCCCAGTGAGGGGCAGACATACGGGGGACTCGCCCAGGAGGAGGGGGGAACATCGACATGGAATCGGCGATGCATCGCCGATATGTCGGCGACAAGCCCCCTCGATTGCGGTCCACACGTTCCCGGGTGGGTATCAGACCCCAGTCGAACATCAGTGGGCGATTGGGGCTCGACGCGTTCCCCCCTGAGCCTATGCCCCCCGAGCGTCTCTTGGCCCTGGCCCAGGGATGGGGGCGTCGCTGAATGGAGGGGGGAGCGACGCAGGGGAGGGGGGAGAACGGTGCACTTCTCGGGCCCCCAAGGCCCCCTTTGGGGCCCTGAAGTGCACCTTTCCTGCAGCCCTCGCTCCCCCTTGCGCGAGGCCCCAGGGAGGGGGACAGCTCGAAGAGCCGGAGGCGGGATTTCCACCACAGCTCAGGGCCCCTCCGCGCCCCCGACAGCGGCACTCCGTGCGTCCCTGGCCGGAACCGGGGGCGGGGGTGAGGCTTCGGATGCCCTCGACGCGAGCGGTGGAGCGCGGGCAGCTGTCTTAGATCCCAACCCCAATGAGACGAGGCCAGGACGAGGATAACATCGGGCGAGGATATATCGAGAATCTCTGCGATCCGGCGGCTCTGGAGAATGGCGCAGGCGCCGCGACCTTCTCAGAGCGTTCCGGAACGCTCTGAGAGTCTTCCGGAATCGCTCTGGAACGGATCCGTTATCCTCGTCGCTAGCCCCGTCCGACAGTCGCGGCACGCAGGCGCCGCGACCTTCTCAGAGCGTTCCGGAACGCTCTGAGAGTCTTCCGGAATGCTCTGGAACGGATTTATCCTCGTCCTAGCCCCGTCCGACAGTCGCGGCACCCATTTGGCAAAAAGATGAGCTCGGACACCAAACAATCCACTGCCCCTCAGGGGAGCTCTCACTGCACCCATCGAGGAGCCGATGCAACTCCCACGCAGCGGCAGTGTTATATAGAGGCCGACCAGGTTAATGTCACCACGTTCGGTCGGGGGGAACGCACGTAACTTCCCGCTGTTGTCGTCATCCAAAGCTCTGCCTGATGCAATGTTGACTGCTCGCGCGAACTTCAAATGCAGATTTGTTATCATCTAAGAAGCCCCCGCACCGGCTTGCTTCGAAGCCCAGCTGGAGAAAGCTGCTGGCAATGGATAGCCATGTATGGAAAAAACTCTCTGGTTCGAGAGTGGTACAAAACGGAGCAGGGGATGATAGCATACGATACATGGTGAAAGCAAGGCACACGATGAGAATGCACCCCTTCGCCTCGTCGCCGAACATCCGCTCAAATGTGACTGATGCGCAGAAGAAAGCGCATTGCGATTGATCGCGCGAAAAAGATTACGTGCCACAGCGTGCCCGCTGCTGGCTACTCGGACTTCCAGTTCTCGCAGCACATCTGCACAATCCGCCGACCCCTTTGGGTCACGGAATGTGAGATGCTTCCCCCTTCCCAAACCCCTCCCCCGGGAGCCCGGTCGGGCCGGAATGGAGGGGAGGGGGTGGAGGGCAAAGGTGTCGGCCGCGCCCTTGGAGCCTCAGGGGGCCCAAAACGGGCAAGAGGGCCCCCAAAGGACCCCCGGACGGTCCAAGAGGGCTACGAGTCGCCGAGAGATCGCTCCAAGACGCCCAGGACTGCCTCCAGACGGTCGCGGAGGCCCCCAAGACGCCCCAAGAAGCCACCAAGAGGCGTCCCAAGAGGCCCTCCAGAAGCAAAATTCGTTCCATTTCCGACGGAAAACGTATTATTTTAGCACATTCGCCCCATGGGCTCTCACGACGCCCACAACGGCCCAAGATGCCTTTAAGATCGACCCAAGATAGCCCAAGAGGCCCCCAAGAGGGCTCCAAGACGGCCCAAGAGGGCCCCAAGACGGCCCCAGCTGCTTCCAAAACGACCCAAGAGGGCCCCAGGACGACCCTAAGAGGAGGCCCAGAGGGGAAACCCGAGTGAACATTTCGAGCACTCGGCCCCGAAAAAACCTGAGGAGGCACCAATAGGCCCCCAAGAGGCTCCCACGAGCCCCCGAAGCCAAAAAGCAGAGCCGCGATCTGCCAACCGCCCCCAACGAAATCCCAAGAAGCTGAAACCCCAAGATTACCCAGAAATCGTTCCGCAAACTCTGGTTTTCCTTCTTACTGCCGCCCCAAGGGGTCGGCGGTGCGGCGTCAGCCAATGAATAGGAAGGCGTTTAAAGTGAATTGGGTTCCGTCCGCCCCCTTTTTGTTGTTTTTTTTTTACTCGAACAGATCCCGCACACGGAGCCGTGGCCGGCGCTGCCTCGCCCGCCGCGCCGACGGCGTCACTTCGGACGCCGAGGCATCCATCTCCAGGCAACACGTTGGCGCCACAGAAGACGCATATGCGATGGCTGCCCTGCCGGAGCACCACCCAGCCGACAGGGGACCGGCGCTCGACGTCGGCGAGCTGCCTCAGGCTAGAGCGAGAGCGCCAGCTTCTGCAGGCGGCCGCTCCCCAAGACCTGTTTCACGCGCAGTGCTCCGAACTCGAAGTTGATGCGGACCACTGGACTGGCTCCGGTAATCGTGCCGTCATGCGGCCGGATCCCATCGCGAAGGAAGCCCATCATCATGTCCCAGGCCTCTGGGTGATAGATGACGGTGTGGCCACCGCCTACCGCTGTCACCATTACACTGTCCCCGAAGTTTCTCTTGTACTCCTGAGCCATGTTCATGCCAGTGCGGTCATCGTACAGTGTCTGTGCTATGATGGTGGGGACATCCTTGTTCGCGAAGCCGATGGGCATAGGCAAGGTTGGCCAACCATACATGGCCTTCGAATAGAGACTGAACATGTTGAGGCCTGGGCCGAATGTTGGGTCGCTTCCAGTGACCGTCATGGTCTGCGCGGTCTGTGCCCGGGACCAGCGTCCAGTCATATCCAAGGCCGGGATGAGGCCGAAGACGGAAACGTCCTCCCAACCCGACCCCTCCCTTCCGAAGAAGCTTACGGCAGCACACGGGTTCTGGAGAAAGAGGAATACCATCGAGGGCAAAATGCTGAAGAAGGTAGGCCAAGTGAGATCCTGAACTGCCCCCTGCTCGCCGTAGATTTTCTTGAAAACTGAAATGTTCTCCATACCTGAAAGGTCCTGAGTGAACAAATTGGTCATCAGCTGCATGGGCAGCGGCTTCCCACACTTCTCCAAGTACCAGCTGCCCCCCGACGATGAGCGCGCGAAGAGCTCGTCGATAGCCTCGTTGATGCCGCCGGTAAAGACATACTCCGGCTTCTCAGCATCTTCCTCAGAAAACGGGTTCGTGGTGCAAGCGGGTCCCATAGCCGTGCACTCACTCTGGATGAAGCCGAGCACCTGGGCAACGTTTCGGGCCGCCTCCTCTGCATACTTCAATAGGTCTGGCTGAGGTGCCATGACGCCGGTCACGGCGACTCGTTTCAGAGAATTTGGAAAGGCCGACGAGTATGCGGCTGCAACACGAGTCCCGTACGATGCACCGACGACGGTGATGCTCGGTGCACCAAAGGCCCAGCGCATCCACTCAATGTCATAAACGAGAGCACCTGTTCCGACGTACTGCAAGGGTTGGTACGAACTGCCATCTCCAGCATCTCGACGATATCTGTCCATGCACGAGGTGGTCATCTTCATTTTGTCGTCGAGGTACTTGTACAAGAGCTCTACATTGCCCCAATCGCCGGGGACACTGAACGGCATGGACTCGGCCAAGTCGGCACAACGGGGAGCTAACTTTCCCACTCCCTGGACTTCAACACGCTGCGCCAAATTACCTTTGAGTCTCCGGGAGACCTTATCATTCAAGAAATCATAGATCTGTCCATCAGATAAGGAGCTGGGATCGATGCCGTAGACCGTTGCGATCGCTGACAAGCCCATGCCCCGCTGGTCCACGCTCACGATGTCATACTCTTCTAAGAAGTCGTCCGGGAAGATGTAGGTCGGAAAGGACTTCTTGCTCAGGGGCTGGATGCTTGGTAAGGGGCCGCCAGAATGATAAAACATCAAGCCCTTTGGTGCCGGCTGTGTCCTGCACAAGGTCACCGCGAACCAAACTGTGTCTGCGACCGGCGTCTTCTCCGGAGTGGAGTAGAACAATGGGGTGTTCAGCTCCACGAAGATCTGCGTGTCATAGCCATCATACACGCTCACTGCCCTCTTTGCGATCGCCTCGTTGGCACTGCTGGCGCTTCCTCCGAAGGCAGTGCTTGCACACGTTGGACTCAATTGCTGCCGATGTTGCTCGAGACAGGCCATGAATCCGTAGAAGTCCCTGCCGTTGCTGCACAATTTCGCTTCGTCGGCCTTACAATCCTCGCGGACCTTCTGAGCAAATGGGTGGACCTGAGGCTTCCAGAGCCTGGCCTCGTTCAACTGCTGCAGATGGAGCGGCTGCTCCGTGCGGAGTCTGGACTGAAGGAGAGCAACTTCCTCGGCATCGCTGGAGCCGCATGCAGAACTTGAAGGCCCATCGCACGAACCACTCGCAACAACAACGACCAAACAAGAAGCAACCAAGCCGACGAGGCCGAGGGATGGCCTTTGAATATGCGCCATCGGGGCAACAGATTTGACGATCTCCCGTCTCGGTTGGAGCCGAAGTCACTTGAGCCAAAATGGCTTGAGCCAAAATGTCTACGGAGGGTTCCGTCCGCCCCCTTGGAAGGACGGAAAAGGGGAAGCCACTCGGTCAAAGTAGGACGGCGCTGAAAGTAGATTGTAACCTGGGATTCCAGAAATATCTACTTTCAACGACCGATGGGTAAATGTGAGACACCATCATGTTTGGATTGGCAAGATTCCCGGATTCGGCCACACGTGAGCTGCGTGATTGGCAGCATGCGACCCTTGAGCTACGATCAGGCTGAAGGTAGTGGACAGTACTCGACGCGACGTCGTATGGGCGCAAGCCTATTCGTCGGCGCGACGTTTCTTTGTCCCCGCGAAGCGAAACGGTAAAACAAACAGGCTACCTGCCTGCAGGGGAGGCGGCCTTCGCTGCCTCCTCTTCAGCCTGGACGCTCAATCTCATGGCTTGGAGCCTCTCAAGGAGCCCCGGCATCGCAGGCTGCCACTGCTCGGCACGACGGTATCGGCTTCAACTTCGCATCAGCCGAGGCAAGTCGCGAACGAGCAAACCGTAAGCTGTGCTGGCCGCGGAGCTCGCCGAGTAACCCATGCGGGACGGCGTCCATGTCGGAAGCGGCCCTGTAAGCACACGCGACGGTTTGAGGAAGCCGTGACAAGCGTGCAAGGATGGTCGCATGGGTAGACTGACCGGCTCGCATATGTGGCCGAGCCATGCAGGACCGCCAAGTATCCATACCAATCTGTGAGACTACGACTTGCACTGTCATTCTCCCCCGCGCAGGGAGAAACCATGTCAATGCCCATCGTTCGCATACGCATCGGAATCCTCCATGAAAACACAATCCAACAATAATGCTGTGATTGTATATATTACATATCCCCTCCCCCTGAAATAGTCTCCCGTGCCTCGCAAATCCATCCATTCTATCCCTTGGCCCACCCTCGTCCCTCACCCATCCTTCCTCTGCGCTCAACCTGCCTCCACCGACTCCTCCCTGGAAGCCTCCTCCCCTCCTTCCTCCCCTTCCACATACCATCCCCTTGAATCCTCCTACTCACCCCGGACATGCCCACTCACTCACCCCTCCTACTCGTCCACTCCCGCAGTAGAGGCCTCCTAGATGGGGTCGGAGTAGATGGGGTCGGAGGATCGCGCCGCATCGGCGATACATCGGAGATGCATCGGAGATGCATCGGCGACGCACTGGCGATGCATCGGCGACGTCGGCGATGCATCGGCGACGTCCGTGTAAAGAAAATCGGGCTCCGCATCGAGCCGCATCGGCGATGCGGCACGATCTTCCGACACCATCTGCTCGGACCCCATCTGGGAGGTCTAGACACATGTATATCCTTCCCCTTCCTCATGCCATCCTCCCATCAAGTCCTGTTTCCCCGAACTTCTGTCGGCGATCCTCCGACCCCATCTACTCGGACCCCATCCAGGAGGCCATGTCATCCTCCCCATCCAGTCCTGTTTCCCCGAACTTCCCTTGGAACCGGGGCTCTTCTTAGGTTGGGCCTCTCCCCCTACAGGAGGATTTGGGCGAACAGTTGAAAGTATTGAAAACATATTACAAAAATGTTGAAAAATAGTCGAATCGTCCCTAAACTGTTTTAGCTGTTTTTGAATATTCCTCCTGTAGAGGGAGAAGCCCGACTTAACACCATTCAATCCTGCTTCCCCCTGTCTACGGCGCCTAGGGCCCCCTAAACGGGGGCATAGCCAAACGTGGAACTCGGCGTTCCCCGTGCCCCCGTTTGCTGTGCCCTGTCTCTGGCGCCCTGAGGGGGGGCCTCCTGATAGTGTCAGGTCGGGCACGTCCTCCTGCAAGCGGGCTTAATAAGTTTGACAAATCTCGATGTGTATATATGGATATGTGTAATAAAAATATGAACAAAAACAAACAACAACACAACACAAAAAACAACAACAAGAAAAACAAACAAAACAGCGCGAGGAGCCACGGGGGGGCCTTCTGATAGTGTCAGGTCGGGCGCGTCCTCCTGCAGGCGGGCTTAACAAGAAAAAGTAAGCAGAATCCACATCTTACCAAACAGACTCGAAAGTAGTAACAAATATCGTCCATTGACCCTTCTTTGTACATATTGTTGAGCACTCCTCCTGTAGATGGGAGTGTCCGACTTACCATTTGGTCGGGCATGCCCCCCTACATGAGGATGTTTGACGATTTTGTTCTTTATGTTCTTGTTTTTAAAAATCATCCCCCAAAGATATGCAAAATTTGTCAACATGGTCAACAATATTCCCCTGACTCTATTTTTCCCTTTGTTGAATCTCCCTCCTGCAGAGGGACAGGCCCTACCTGGCGATAGCGCTGCCCCGTAAACGGCAGGGCCGTTTCTTCACCGTTTCCGGAAAAATGCCCCTTGAAAATGGAAACGGCAAAAAAACGCGACAGGAAACGGCAACAAAAACGGCTCCAGGATTAGAAACGGAGCGGGAACCTGTAAAAGAACGGCAACGGAACCCGTAAAAAAACGGCGTGGGAATAGGCAAAAAAACAAACCAAAACGGAACCGGTAAAAAATCGGCCCTGTCGTTTTCAGGGCCCACTAAGATACTTAGCGATAGCGTTGCCCCCCCTCCCCGCTCGCGACACCGCCCACCACCAGCTCGGGAGGCATCGTGGCCCTCCTTGGCGGAATGCAAATGGGGGGATAAGTTCAGATGGGGAGAGAGGCGCAACCGAGGTACAAATCGTACCTACGCCCCACGGAGAAGGTACAATTTGTACCGACGCCACGCAGACAAGGTACAAATTGTACTTTTGACAACGTACGCGACATGTGCGAGGATGTTAACGGGGGGGGAGAAGGTACAATTTGTACTTGCAACCCGCAGGGAAGGTACAAATTGTACCCCAACAAAACGGTACAGGATACTCATCCCCCCATGTCCTGATCCCCCCATCGCCATCCGGCCGACCTCCTTACCGAGAGTGGCACCGCTGGTGGCCGTGGTGCCGCTGCCCTTAGTGGGCCCTGGAAACGACAAGGCAGTTTTTTTACCGGTTCCGTTTTGCTGTTTTTTGCCGGTTCCGACGCCGTCTTTTTGCCGGTTCCGTCGCCGTTCTTTTACGGGCTCCCGCTCCAGTTCCATTCCTGGAGCCGTTTTTGTTGCCGTTTCCAGTCGCCGTTTTTTTTGCCGTTTCCATTTTCAAGGGGCATTTTTCCGGAAACGGTGAAAAAACGGCCCTGCCGTTTCCGGGGCCCACTAAGCCGCTGCCTCATGCATCAGAGGGTGTGCTTTTCGCATGCGCGGGCTCAGAGCTCCCGACCTCTTCGGTGGAGTTATGTTGCTCCCATCACACTGAGGGACCACACCCCAAAAATAATGTCGAGCCCCCGGAAAGGTGTCGGAAGAGTGTCGAAACAGTGTCGGACGAGTGTCTCCCAGGGCCCCGCACGTGACACCCCTCGAGTGTCGGTCAATTTCTGGTGCTCGAAAGTCTTTCTGGTGATCAGAGCTAGAGTCGGTTGGGACATCATAGCTGCGGAGGCACTCTGAGCCCTGGGTGCGTGCTTGCTGGCCCCCGGGCCCGATCACTGGCCCAAAGGCCGAAACCCGGGAATAGCATCAGGTCGGGCCTGTCCCCCTACAGGCGGACCTTGTGCGGCAGATCAAACATACACCCCCCAAAGGCGCCGAACATACTCCGAAGTAGTCAAAACATCGTCCCCAGACGATGCTCTTGACGAACTCTTGTTGAACAGTCCTCCTGCAGAGGGGCACGCCCGACTTCAGAACAACGAACAGGTAGAAACCCATGTGCTTCCAGTGATCTTGGACGCCCGAGTTATCCGGGGTAACTCGGGTCCGGGGTAACTCGGGTTTGGGTTCCCGAAAGACGAACCCGAGTTAACCCTGCCCCGAGTTACCCCTGATGATTCGGGGCTCTGGGCGCCCGAGTTATCTGGGGTAACTCGGGTCCGGGATAACTCGGGTTCGGACTCCCGAAACACGAACCCGAGTTAGCCCTGACCCGAGTTACCCCTGACAGATGATTCGGGGCTCTGAATAACGAGCAGGTAGGCACCCGTGTGCTTCCAGTGATCCCCGCCCGGAGCACGCGAGGCGGGACCCCCAAGAGAGCGCACCGGGCGCCCCTGGGGCCCGGCGGCCGCGGCATGCGCTCGCCCCTCGGCCAGGACGCGAGGCGGGACACCCAGGGAACACCGGCACGCTAGGGGGAAAACAAAACTACCTCGCTTTTGACCACCCTCGCTTCCAAGAGATACCAAACGATGCCAGATTGCAGCCTGTACTGGTCAGGCCGCTTGACGAGGAGGCGCGCGGCATGGCTTGGTTTTGCCTGGAAGCGAAAGCGGGGTAGGTAATTCATGCTCTGACACGCCTCAGGCCTGGCGGCCGCGGTGTGCGGGGTGGGCGAGGCGGGTCGGGGACTTTTTTCGTAAGCCTGCAGCCCCGCCCTGTCGGGTGAGGAAACATGTGATCGCCGGGATCTGGGCACCCTGTTACCCGACGCAGAACGACAGGGCCTCAGAACTTGGATGGGGAACAATTTGATCGCCGGGATCTGGGCATCCTGTTACCCGACGCAGAACGACAGAGCCTCAGAACTTGGGTGGGGAAAAATTTGATCGCCGGGATCTGGGCATCCTGTTACCCGACGCAGAACGAAGGAGCCTCAGAACCTCCGAAGATCCTCCGAAGATTCTCGGAGCCGCCAACACGGTCGGGCTCCTTGCCGAGGAGGCGCGCTACGTGACTTTCTTTTACCTGGAAGCGACAGCGGAGGCAGTATCCGCCGGCCCCCTTGCGGGGCCATCAGGCTGCGAAGATTAGGCTTTAATGTCGGGGATGGACAGACCCCCTTTAGTAAAACGTGGTTTAGTGAAAACGACCTGAGGCCCAAACCTAGCGGGCGCAAGCCTGGAAAATAACGGCCACGGCGCCCCCTCGAGAACCGAAAACGGACAATTCACTAATCGACGTGTCACTGTTGGGGGTTCTGGCCACCCCCGATAATGATCCCTGCACCAGTTCCAGTTTCAAATCTCC